AATAATGAGAAATGTCAAGGACAGAAGTACAGCACCCTAGGGAAATCACTACACCCTCGAAACACATTTCACAACCATCTTTTGCCAACATTTTAACAGGTCAGGACAGCAGTACAGCACCATTTTGGGGGAAATTAGCATATCCTACAAGTAAGTACCTTATATGCTGTAGCAAGGGCAGTAGCTGCCTCCTGAATTGTCAAACGAAGAGATTGCTCCTCTAATCTTAAAGCAGTAAAGAGTCGTATAGCCATGTCAGTTTTGTTGCTGCAATGTTCATAAAAAGTAGAAAAAATCAGTCTCCATAACAGAAATGAATCATGAGGCAAGAAAGCAGAAGAGTAAGAAAAGGGCATACCTGAATAAATTAGGCATGCGAGTGGCAAGCAAACCAATTGCCTGGTATGCAAATATTTTAATATCCCTACTGGAAGAATCTGGACATAAAGGAAATCAATAAATCATTCACTGTTTCTCAACTTATTTGACATGGCAAAATAGGAAGTCAAAGAAGTGTTAAAACCCAAGTAATTCAAAGCAAAGGAATGTGAAGATAAATCACATGCATGCCTAAACAAGTAGAGTCGATGACAAGTGCAAAACCTGCTTCAGTAGTGGAAGAACCATCAAGTGAACGTAATATTCCACTGAGAATGACTGGACCAATTAACTTTAGCTGGTCATTTGCTGCCTAAATCAATAAGGAAACAATGATAATTGATAAAAGTTTGAGACCATGAAACAAGGTTGACAGAAAGGAACAGAACTGCTCCAAGTGAAAAAGCTAAAATTGGAAGAGCACAAGTAAAGAATGCTAGAAGCTAATCAATGTTGGTGAACTGAAAACATACAAAGTGCACCTACATGTTTGAAAACCCAGACAGTGAACTCCATCCCTAACTGCTTCAGCCTTGAAGTAGTCCCGTTTCCTTCAGGCATAGAAACACAGCAGAAACAAATATGAGTTTAGTAACGATACATGGCATGCTGAAGTTGAGTTATTGCCTTGCTGAAACGTCAATTGAGTAGTTTTAGCAATGAATTGAATGCAACATAACAAGAAATATCATAGAATGTGTTCCATATCATAGAAATAGACACTTAAAAAGCAAATGGAGTGCTCATCTTGCATTTCCCTCTTTAAAGGAAGTCATGCATATATGTGTTATGGGCTGCGCAATTGATTTGGGGATAAAGATTATTAGTTTCTATGTTAGATATTTCATGGAAGTAGATGGCTATATCCAAGGTATGATTTTATTTAGTTTCTATCATTTGGGCTCTAGCACCTCTATATAAGGATGTCACTGTTAGCAAGAAAAAATATCAATCCATTTTCCTCAATGTTCTGCATCCCAGTCTATGCCTACTTCTCATCCCAGGGAGCCGCTGCCACCTTGCTATCCTCCTAATGGTGTTTATCCTCCATGAACCCTAGCCCATATCTTTCAACTCTTTCACTTGTTCCAGATATAAATTTCTAGGCCCACCTTTATCTTTTATCATTCTATTGTAATGTATGCTGTACATTATTGTTAATTTGATATTAATAGTTTTTCAGAAGATCATCCTCTGCAGCTCCTACCATTCCATAAAACTCTAAAAGATGCTTAAAAGAAAGATTATTGTACAAAATGACAAACATACCAAATCAGTTTCTATGTACTACTTAAAGATGCGGTTTGGTGATGTAAATAATCAAAACTAGTAAAAGAGTGCATTTGTTAATACACAGCTTATTAAAATTTCATTTTATTGGTCATGACAACAAATAAGAAAACTAAAATAAATACACAAAGTAAAAATATATATAAACAGAATACCATAGATGCAGCCAAAGATGCACTGAAGTGTGTACGGGAATGCGTTTGCTGCAGCAATCGATCGGCAGAAAACACCCATAAGGCGGACTCGCAGTGAACTATGTGCTGGGGCGACTTTCAGCTCTGCAGCTATATTTTCTGCACTTGCAGTACCTGAGGCAAAAGAGAACAGTATCTATCATATACCATGAGAAACCACAAATATTCAGATTTGCACTGATAAAAACAAGAAAGAGATTTTTACAAAACAAAATAAAGAGAAGCATTGTGTACATGTTGGTACAGGAGAGTGCAATGTGCAAATGCTGGCCTGCTAACATACACAAACCTTTACAAAATGTAAGGCTTACTTTGGATGGGAACAAGGATTAAGAAGGGTATGAAAACAAGAGAAGGAGAGGACATGACCTTGTTATCTCAGTTAAAAATACGGAAGAGAACAGTTAGTTAGAACATTAGTTATAATTACAAGGTGAGAGAAGATGGTGTAAAAAGGATCAGTAAATTCTCATGAGTGATATATTTTAAATGAAACTTGTTGGAGGGGTACCCCCAATGACCTACTGCTTCGGGACTAGGCTAGAGGAAATATGTTCATGGAATAGACATGTGCTGTACCAAAAGGACCTTGCTAGAGTTATGAAGATGAGGGGCAACAAAGGTATCCGCACCCATCTTTTGACCATGCAACAATAAAGCTCGAAAAAACTATAAAGCCTTCTATATATATTTTGAAGTGGAGGCAAAGTTATACTAGATAATTTTAATTTTAGCTTTGCCCTTTATGTAAGGAACTGGATTTCAACAATGCATTTTAGTCACCTCAAGGACAGAATAACATATGCCACCCAACAAAAATGACAATACATAAGAACAAAGTGACAGTATTATATTGAAATATAAATTTGCTTGAGTTAGCATGCTACAAAATCCTTAATCCATACCATTGAACAGTGTGAACAGTTTCTTCATAAGGTTGGAATCTTCTAGGTTCACAGCTGAAGCTTTGCGCTTTAATAACTCCTCTCCTCTCTTAGTAACTGACTCTTGACTTCATTGAAACAATGATCCGCATGATTAATGATCCGTACAAACATTTCAGTGGATTGTAAACATAATTCCAAAAAAGTACCTATCCGAAGCAGCAGCTAAATAAAGAGGGTAAACAATCTCTGGTGCCAACTGCATAGCTTCAATGACGTTCAAGATTCCTAGCTGAAGATATCACAAGTGAAATTCAACTGTAAGAAGGTGCAGTTACTATACTCAAGGACTTAAAATGTGCGAATGTATATGCTGACATGATTGCATACACAGGCATAGCATGAATAAATGATACATGCATTTCTGTATTACCTTTCTTGATGTAAGTGTGTCACCTTTTAGTGGCTGCTTTCCAGTAACACGATCTGATTGAGCAACCGAAAGTCCAGCCGGGCATCCAACACTGAAGAATACTAGCAGTCAACTCTCCATAAATCAAAAAAAGTTTCATACTTGTACCTAATTTAGCAAGGAAACCTACCCTTGAGGTGGTGTTTGATACACTACTGTGTGAAAACAGAAGTCAGCGAAGACTAGATCATCATTAGATCCACTTATGGATTGATATTTTGAAGCAACATTGTCACCCACCTTATGTGTGTTACATTCACCAATAGCCTGACAACAAGATTTAAAAAAACAGAGAAAAACTAGCAAGCTTTTTAGGATGCAGATACACCAAAGGAAGAAAAGAAAACTATGAGTAACTTATCAAAAATCATTATAGACTTGACTAAATTCAATGCCATGGGCTGATGATAGAAAAAAGCTGATAATGATCAATTTAGTATGTGCATCAACTTTATGATTTTGACTGGAAGGGTGAGATTTGGTTGTTGCCAGTCCATGTGTAACCTAGTAAACTACATAATTTTGCCGGATCCTTTCCTTGAATTCTTCAATGGAAACCATTTAAACCAATGTACATATTTTTGCTGATCATGTGTAATCGTGTAAACTCTGTGGTGGACAGCAGTCTTAATTAAATTGTGACAAACCTTCACCACAAGTCTCAAGATGATTCCCTGATGCTGCTCTGTAACATTTGATATGTTGATTAAAAGATCAGGTGCTATGCTTCCCTTGTCCTGTTACAGAATGTTAACTTCATGTTGTTGGCTTTGCAGAAAAGGTAAAACAGCCTAGAGAAAATGAGAAACAAACGAAGCAGAATAGGATACCTCACTTAGCAGACGTTCAAATGCCATCTCAATATAAACAATGCAAAAATTCCGGACTATTGTGGAGGAAGTAGATTCAGTATAAATCCTCCATAAATCCAGCATGGGCAGTGAAATCTCAGGCCTGTGCTTCACCCGTTTGTTAATGTGGCTGAGAATTTCCATAACCTAATGGAGTCCAAAAATGGTATTATTTTCCATTACATGCCATTGTCTAATTGACATGGAAATTATGCTATAGAATCATGCAAAGAACTGAAGGAAAACAGGACTGGCACTCTGCTACTCTGAACTGGTTCAGGTTACAGTAACAAATGCAAGTAATTCTTGCAACATAAAGCACAATAGTCTCTCTAATTACGTCGTTTAGAAGATTATGTGTACATGAACAAATCACTAAAACAGTATAATAGGCACTGTTGCTCGAATTTCATCAAATTGAAGCAGGAACATTGTAAACATCACCAACCAAGAGACCAACTAAACCAACCGAAGCAGAATAATGACACCTACACATATGTCTCACATACAAACTTCAATAGATTCAGGACCTGAGGAACGGTATACTTACGAGCTTGCGGACGGATGCGGCGGGGGAGGCGAGCGAGGTGATGGCGTAGGGGAGGACGCGGGCGAGCAGCGGCGCGAGCCGCGCGTCTTCGGCGAGGGCCAGCCGCGTCAGCATCCGGTCCAGCGCCTCCTCCCTCTCCGCGTCGGTCTGCGCCGCCGCCGCCGCGGCGGCCGCCGGCGACGATGTCTCCGCCATCTCTCTCCCGGCGATGTTGGACTCAGCTGCTCAGTCGCCCGTGTTTCCTTCCACCACAAGAAGGTTAGAAGAAGAAAGATGGTCGAGTCGGGTTCGAGTCCAAACCGCTCAAAACGAGAGGGGGATCGTGTCGGGCTCGGGTCCGACCCACACGAGTCGGTACACTCGAGAACGAAACGAAACGAAACCCAACCCAACCAACTCGGCGCGGTCGCTGCTTTCTTCTTTGCCCTCAAGCCTTGCGCCCTGCGCTGCAGCGGCTAAAACCTCCTGATCGCGGCGAAAACCCGCGAAACCCCAACCGCCGCTCGCCATCGCCGCCGTCGCCGCCATGGCCTCCATGGAGCCCTTGAACCGGTGCGGATCCTCCCGCTGTGCTCCCCTCCGTGTATCCATGATGCATTGATGATAGCTGGCATCCGCGGGAGGTGTAATTTTACTGGTTTTGGTTTGGGAATTTTTGGCTGGCATTGCAGGATGGTGAGGATGGTGGCGCGCGCATTCTACGACAACGTCTCGCTGGCCAGAGACCCCAAGTCCGCTCGCGGCGACAACTGTGGGCTTGCCGTCGTTGTCCTCGACGCCCTCACCAGGTGAGACCAAACCTAAATCCTCAACCAAAGTCCTGACCTCGGTGCTGTCACTGATCAATGATCAATGTGCCCTGTTGCATGTGTTTCTGTACATGTTTCATGACCTGTTCTATTGTGTTGGTTTCACTCACCTGATTGATTGATGATGCTAGTTTCTACTCGCTAGTGCCAATGAGGAAACCTCCATGTTGAATACTGCTCCCTCTTGGCCTCTTGTGATTTTAGGCAAGGAGAATTTACAGTGACCGAGATAATTAATGCAGACCTTTTGTGCCTGTGCATTTCAAATTTATGGCATGGTCTAGGATTTATTTTTCAAGGTTAAATTGATTATTTCGTTTCTTGCTGGTTGGCTACAACGTCCCGTTAAGTGCTCAAACAAGCATTTGAAGATTTTTTTTAGAGTGAGTGATGAGCAATTTTGTTATGATCCCTGAGGGACTGTTTTGGAGTAACTGCTACTCATGGTTTGTCGTTTATCAAATCTATGGCAAATAATGGTTAATCAACACTATCACCAACTGGATCAAGTTTGTACACAACATTATGAAACAAATATACTGAGTACTCCTTTATGATTTCTTATGACTCATTATCCATGTGGAACTGCTGAGAGAACATTTTGCCTCCTCATATTGTAGTGTTACTTGGTACTCGTTGATGTCCCACATTTTATTTTTATAATGCTGCTTGCTCAGTTTTGAACGTGCAGTTTTGACTACTAGGCCCTTGCCTCTGTATTCTTTTTTTCTCCTCCTTTAATCCTATCTTTTGCACCCCGGAGTGTACATCTGTCAAGTCTATTGAGTTTTTCCTAGCGTGCATATGCTCGGGCTTGTGTGAGAAGGCGGCTTCCACTCCTCACTCTCTCTTACTATGACTCTTCTTCCTTTATTTAATGCATGAGGCAGAGCCCTTGCCTTTTCGTAAATAAGAAAACTTTGATTACTAGAGATGGAAATCAGCAATTGGAGAAGCTGCTTCAATTGTCCAATTATGATCACAAAGAATTTAGTCTTAAATCTATTATCTTCCCCCTCTCTCTCTCTAAAACATTTTTTTCTCTCGTTTCAATATTCATCTTTTTTCGTGTTAACTAATTATATGTAGTGTCAATGCACAAATTGTGATACCCTTCTTTTTTACCGCAGGCGGCGCCAGTGGGTCCGAGAGGAAGATTTGGCTAAAGCATTAAAGATTTCCTCTAAGCAACTGCGCCGCATTCTCCAGTTTTTTGAAGAAGAGAAGCTAGTGAGAAGATGTCATCGGAAGGAGATTAGAATTTCTGAGAGAGAGTTGTTCTCATTTTTGTATAGCACTTTTTTTTTTAATTTTAGCATGGAATCGCCATCTACTCCACTTAAAACAGAAGTTGTTAATTAGGTTATTAGTAGTTTCTGAAAGCAAGACCTGATAGGAGAGTGAGAATCAACGATTGTCACCTCGGCACTGTACTACTGTAGGATATGCCACCCACTCCCAATGAGTAGTGAATCACCACTGTTAAAGAGCGCATCTCTAGCATTTGTCACGTTGGGGTCTTTTTGCAAAATGTTTACATTTCTATTTTCTCTCTGCCCGTTTTGCCCTCAGCCATTTTCCACTTATCCTAAAAAGTAAAAAAAATGCTGACCACTTTCCAACTGAGTCAAGATGTCAAGATATTCTACAATTTATCCACATTTATATGCAGTGGCGTTATTATTTTATTTCTTTAGACTATAGAATGAGTGCCTGAAATATGTTTTTGAGCACCTACTTCACATAAGCTTGTACATGGTTAATGGAAATACATGGGAAATGAATTAGTTGCATAACTATATCGGTGCATTAATGACTTGTATAATCTTACATGGACAAAGCAGAAAAGTTCAGCAGAACTTAGGTAAGACTTCAATAAATGAAACTTTATGTCATGTATATTTCATCTGTGTTCTGATACTGCTGAGGCATAAACATGTGTGTGCTACGCTCTCTTGTATAGCCCATATTAAACAGTTTCCTGGAATATGCATATTTCATTAAATCTGACTATCTATTTGTGCCCGTGGAATTTTTGTTGTTTTTTGTGATGGTTGTTGTATAGGTCTCTTTAGACACCATTTGCGCCACACACTCATGTATAGCCATTTTCTTACATATATGAAGGCGGCTCTGTTTTCCTATGTACTAAAAAATTAGCCTTCTATTTACACTATTTTGCTTGGTACACTGGATCACTTCGAGTGTGCAGTACTGCTAAATAAGGAGTAACTTTAGGTTCACTTTATGAACGTAAGCATCCAAAGAGCTTAAGACAATCAACATTCACAGGATCATTAGTGACAGCACGAGGTGACCTGAACATTGCTTGAACTCTTTTGTTTTCTGGGTGGTGTGGTTGGAGGTGCAATCAATATGAACGTCCAGTCATTAGTCATCTTTGTTTGTTAATCTGATTGTCAGTTTTTTTTTTGCCCCTTCTCACCTTGTGTTGTGTTATGTCATAGCAGTCACCAAAAGGAGTAAACATATCTAACAATGTCTCTGGCACCGCTGGTGATGTGCATCCTTTTACTAAAGGAGGAGAGAAAGCAAAGATGCACACACATTCCTACTGTTGTTTGGACTATGCTCAGGTTACTCATTGATTGAACATTTAATTTTCAATGCAATTGCTTCTCTCCTCTTATTCTCTTCTTAATGAAATGACACGCAATTCTCTTGCTTGTTTGAGGAAAAGAATTACTTCTCTAATGAAAGAGAAACTTGCCCGGCGAAAAAATGAAAGAGAAACTTGTTAGCTGAAATTTTTCGCATACACAAGATATTTGGCCGCTCACATTTATCCACAAAGCACATGAGTGGGACATGTAGCGCTATATCTATTTCTTATGTTTTTACGTGTGGCAGAGCTCAATGAGATTTGATATAGACTCTGTGCATGGAAACTTATTTTAACATTGTAAAACTGCATGGGCCAAAAATCACACAAGCGGACCTTCTCATATAATCTTCAATTGAACATTGCAGTTTTTCTGCATGCATGGTGGTTGTTTTGATTAAATTGATCTCTCTTCCATAGGTTGGCAAATCTAAGTCACTTGGCTTTATTAGAATTATTAGGACAGAATCCTACTGAAAATTTGTTGAACAGAAAGTGAGACAAATCTCTCTCACCACAGCGTTAGCGATAACATTACCCATCTTTAGTCATAGAATAAAATCTGCTTGTACCTTACCCATCCCATGATCCAAAAATGTCTTTTGATCTGGTCATAATCTGATATAGATTTTAATGTGCATATTTTTCTGAAATACAGGTATATGATGTTGTAAGACATAGGATACACCGCATGAGGAAAAAATTAAAAGATGAGTTAGATGACAGAGATACAGTTCAGCATTATGTATGTCCTAACTGTAAAAGAAGGTACTAAGTATACTTCTGATTATTCTGGATATATAGTACCATTAAAAAAAATGAAGCTTACATTATTGTCTCTGTTGAACTGTAGGTGACGGAGCGTGGGGCTCCTCACCGGGAGACCGCGCAGGCCCCCCTTTGCCGGTTCGGCCGGGGGCCCTGGGTGAGATTCTAAGCTCTCGGTGTGTGGAAGGTTCGCGAGAATGGAAACACACAAGACACGGGCGATGTATACAGGTTCGGGCCGCTGAGAAGCGTAATACCCTACTCCTGTGTTTTGGTGAATCTATGTACGAAGAAGCTACAAAAGAGCTGGAGAACCAGAGAGCTCTTACTCTCTCCCTCTCTAATCGTTCTGGATCCCCCCAAAAAATCAATCCCCCTTCTAAGTGGGCAAGGTCCTCCTTTTATACCTCAAGGGGATACCACATGCACCATCTCTCTCTTTTTTGTGGGGACTTATCCTATCTTTTCTTAAACAGACGGAGACTTGTATGGTTGCCGTCCGAATGACCTTCTGATGGGACGGCCCATACCTACCTCCACTTCCGCCGGAAGCAGGCGCGACGTGGGAACATAGCTGTTTGCCGACGACATGACCAGTGTCAGACCGGTCACAAATCGGTCATTCTTGTCCACCACGCGTCAGTTTAGCAATCTGCATGTCCACCCTTCTTCATACAATTTCTTGCTTGTAATGGTTGGGATGAAGCCTGGCATATACCTGACCAGGACCAACGTGCCATCTCCAGGAGCTAGCACGCTGGCTCCGGCTAGGGACGAGTGCCTAGAGACTCTCATCCTGACGGGACGGGGCGAGGCGTGTGTCAGATCGCCTGTTGCCACCTAACCCGCAATCTGACCGGTCTGTGACCAGTCACAGACCGGATAAACGAGCGCGCTGTACTGCATTACGTGCGGCGTGACGTGCTCACCCAAACCGCAATAAATGCGGTTAGGTGAGCCCCGCTGCGCTCACCTAACCCATACACGCGGCGCAAAACCCACAAGGGGTCGGGGCGCCTTGGCCCTCGGGGCCGAGGCGGGAGCGGTCCGACCCCTCGGGGAGACAAAGAGAAGGGCGGCCGTATCACCCTCGGGCCCGACCCCCCCCGAGGGGGTTAGGCCACGTGGGTGATCGTGTCTGCCTCAAGTCTCTAAGTCATGATACTCCCGGTCCCATGTCACCGACAGTAGCCCCCGGCGTTATGCCAGGGCGATCGCCCTCCTCGAGGGAAGCGGTCGGGCGTGACGCCACTTCCTAAGGCCTGATGACAGGTGGGGCCGGTCTAAAAATCGGGACAAGCCGGTTCGTTTTTCCTGGAGATATGGTGATGGCGCTTCGGTCGGCGAGCGTAATTAACGCGCGCACGAGATGTTCCATCTCGACTGCCACAGCCGCATATCCACCTCATGCACCGCAAACGGGCGAATGGGATTAGTGGAAGCGTGGGCGCGAGAAACGAGGGGGCAAGATAGTGGGCGCGAGAAACGAGGAGCCGGGCACAGCGTTGGCATGGGTATAAAGTCGCCGAGGAAGAGATTTGCTTCCTTCCTCTCGCCATTATTCCCCTTGTCTTCGCCGCTTGCGCCCTAACTCCTTGTTTCCTGTGCCCTACCTTCGCCACACGCGCTCGCTCTCAAACATCTCTTCTTCCGGCGTCATGGCACGGGGCTCCGCTCCGCTTGACGGTAGCGTGCTGCCGCCTTCCCGCATCGTGAGCGAGAGACAGGCCGGGCTGCCGCGCCGCTTCATGCCGGAATCTGCCACCGGCCGGGAGATAGTCTCGCTGGGCGAGGGATGCCCGGCGCCACGCTACCCGGGGCGGTCCGTCTTCTTCCTCCCTTTTGCTATGGCAGGGCTGGTTCCGCCATTTTCTTCTTTCTTCATGGATGTTCTGGAGTTTTACGATCTCCAGATGGCGCACCTCACCCCCAACGCGGTAATGACATTGGCCATCTTCGCGCACCTGTGCGAGATGTTCATCGGGGTGCGCCCATCCCTTCGGCTGTTCCGGTGGTTCTTCACCGTACAGCCGGTGTCGCCGCCGTCGGTGGTTGGTGGTTGCTACTTCCAGCCGCGGGGGCCGGTGCTGAACCGCTACATTCCCTGCGTCCTCCGCAAGAAGTGGGATGACTGGAAGAGCGACTGGTTCTACACCCCCCTCGCCGACGAAGCGCGCCTCCGACTTCCGAGCCAGCCTCCAGCGCAGGCCTCCAACTGGCGGGCGCCGGTAGATCTGGGAGATGGCTACGACGCCGTCCTCGACCGCCTGGTGGGCCTGCGATCCCAGGGGCTCACAGGGGCCATGGTGTTCGGCGACTATCTTCGTCGCCGGATCGCGCCACTCCAGCGGCGCGCCCGGGGCGCCTGGGAGTACACCGGGTCCGAAGACTTCATGAGGACCCACCAGGGGGTCAGATGGGACTGGGCTCCTGAGGACTTCAAGATAGTGGTCCAACGGGTGCTGAATCTCAGCTCCGTGGAGGCATCCCTCATTCCTCAAGGAGTCCTCCCCCTCTGCAGCGATCCAGACCGCGCCTCCATCCTGACCATCATGCAGGCGGTCGGGGCGTCGGAGGAGCGGGCTCCTCGAGGCCACGATGGCGCGGGCGGGAGCCGCAGGGGGGAACAATCTACCCCGGGAGGGGGTCGTGCTTCTGGGCCCCGCGACGGGGGCCCGGGGAGCGGCCGCCCTGCCGACGCCTGGGGGAAGAGGAAGCAGGAAGGAACCCCTCCCCCATCTCCTCCCCGAGGGGGCGGGGCGGCGCGTGCCAGCAGCAGGCGCCCGGAGGGGGCCACGCCGACGTCGCAGCCCGAGGGGGAGCGGAAGAAGAAACGGCTCCGCAAGATGGGGGGGACAGAACCATCCCGGGGAAACCTTATTTCCCCTCCAAGGTGGTCGTTTAACCGACCCCCTCGCAGGTTCGTCCCACGCCCATCGTGGCCGTATTCATTCCCTCAACGCGAGTTTTCACTCATCCATCTTGTTTGTCTTCTGGTCTTTCTTCTGTTTCAGCGAGATCCCGTCGCGTCCCTCCCGCCATTCCAAGTCCGGCCAGTCTGAGGCCGAGGACCCGGCGACCACAGAGGCCCGGAGGCGGGAATCTGATCGGCGAGAAGCCGCGGATCGCCTTCGGGAAGCCGAGGAGGCCGCTCGGGAGGCCGCCCGGGCTCGCCAGACCGAGGAAGCCGCTCGGGAGGAGGCCGGACTCCGCCAGGCCGAGGCGACGACATCCTCCGAGGCGACCCGTGAAACTGACCGGCAAGAGGCCGCGGATCGCCTTCGAGAAGCCGAGGAAGCTGCCCAGGTGGCCGTCCGAGCTCGCCAAGCTGAAGAAGCCGCTCGGGAGGAGGCCAGACTTCGCCAGGCCGAGGCGACGACGACTTCCGAGGCAACTCGCGACGAGGCCGCGGGCGCATCGCTTGGGCCCACTCCCTCGTGCGACGCTCAGGACAAACCAGGTCCGGGGGACATCCCCGAGTCCGGCACGTCCATCGGCGGGCCAAGCCGCGCGGCATCCTCTTCGAGGCGGCTCTTCCCCACGCCTTCCGTTGCTCCACTGAGCGCAGAACCCCTTCTGCAGGCCTTGGCCGTCGCAAACACCACGGTGTTGGACGGGTTAAGTGCCCAGATGGAGGCCTTGCAAGCAGAGCGGGTGGAGCTCGACACCGCATGGGCACGTGTCGAAGAGGGGCGTCGCTCGGTGGAGGCCATGGTGGAGGTGGGCCGCAAGGCACATCGCCGGCACGTCTCAGAGCTCGAAGCCCGTCGGAAGATGCTGGGGGAGATCGCCAAGGAGGTGGAGGAGGAGCGGGGGGCTGCCCTCATTGCCACCACCGTGATGAACGAGGCGCAGGACACCCTCCGCCTTCAATACGGGAGCTAGGAGGCGGAGCTAGGGAAGAAGCTCGACGCCGCCCGGGGGGTCCTTGACGTTGCCGCTGCCCGAGAACGGCGGGCGGCGGAGACCGAGGTGGCATCCCGGCGGCGCGAAGAAGCCCTTGAGGCCCGTGCCATGGCGCTGGAAGAGCGTGCCTGCGCCGTGGAGAGGGACCTGGCGGATCGCGAGGCCGCCGTTGCCATCCGGGAGGCAACGCTGACTGCGCACGAGGCCGCCTGCGCCGAAGAGGAGTCCGCGCTCCGCCTCCGCGAGGACGCGCTCACCGAGCGGGAGCGAGCTCTCGAGGAGGCCGAGGCCGCGGCGCAACGGCTGGCGGACAGCCTGTCCCTCCGCGAGGCAGTGCGGGAGGAGCAGGCGCGTCGTAATCTGGAAGGTGCCCGCGCCGAGAGGGCCGCGCTGAACCAGCGGGCCGCTGAGCTCGAGGCGCGGGAGAAGGGGCTGGACGCGAGGGTGCGCAGTGGCGGGGCGGCCGCGGGCGAAAGCGACTTAACCGCCCGCCTCGCAGCTGCCGAACACACCATCGCCGATCTGCAGGGCGCGCTAGACTCGTCCGCTGGGGAGGTCGAGGCCCTCCGCTTGGCAGGCGAGGTAGGGCCCGGCATGCTTCGGGACGCCGTCTCCCGTCTAGACCGCGCCGGCCGGCAGGCGGGCCTCTGGGGCGGGCGGACTGCGAAGTACGCCGCCAACCAGGGGGGCCTCGCCCAGCGCCTCTTGGAGATAGCCGGGACTCTCCAACGGCTCCCCGAGGAGCTCGAGAGGACGATTAAGTCATCCTCGAGGGACCTCGCCCGAGGAGCGGTGGAGCTCGTACTGGCGAGTTACCAAGCCAGGGATCCCGACTTCTCCCCATGGACGGCGCTGGACGAGTTCCCTCCCGGGACCGAGGATGGCGCGCGCGCGCAGGTCCGGGACGCCGCCGACCATATCGTCCACAGCTTCGAGGGTTCGGCCCCTCGGCTCGCGTTCGCCCTCAACTCCGACGAGGAGGACGATGACGGCGGAGTGGGCGACAGTGGCGACGACGCTGGCGACCCGGGTGCATCGGAGTGAGCCCCCAGGCCCCCGCCAATCTTTAAATAGTTTCTTCTTTTCTTCTTCCG